GCCCAGACCTCTTTCTTAAAGGATCATGGGACTTAGTAAGTAGGGTTATAATTAAGGTAACTATACTTATATTTACTTATAACCCCAACTAAGGGACTTATAACCTTACTTACTAAGTCCCATGATCCTTTAAGTTGAAGCCCTCATAGAGCCTTCAAGGAGTCCTGGCTTTGGAATCCGATCAAAGCCCCTCAGAAAAACCCAAAAACACCCCCAAGCCCCGAACGGCCCCAAAGCCTTAAGCCCTAAACTCCCGTATAGATTTCCTGGTAGAACAATTTATAGCCGAAGACACCCAAAGCCCTAAACCCTCAGCACAAGAAAGGGGCGCGTTACACTTAGACAAAACCCTAAACACCCAAAGCCCTAAACCCTAAACCTCTAAAGCCCTCCCAAAGCCCCAAACCCCAAACCCCCAAAGCCCTGCATCAACCCCTGTATAGATCCCTTGTATGGATCCCTTTGAAGGAACCCCAAACCCCCCCCAAAGCCATTTAACCCTGATTGATCCCGTTCATAGATCCTAAGGCTCTCAACCCTAAACCCTAAAACCCATAGATCTCTTTACAGGAACCTTTTCTGATCCTTTTACAGGAACCCTTTAAGCCCACTGAAGCCCAGATCACCTTATAGAACCCTTAAAAGGAACCCTTTTTGATCCCCTTATAGATCCTTGTGAAGGGATCCCCAAACCCCCAAAGCCCACTGAAGCCCAGATCACCATGCCTATCGCCCTGCTGGGGCCCCTGGAGGATGATCCGGCGCTGGGTCTGGACCGGGGGTTCGCAGCCGGTTTAGGGTTTAGGGCTTAGGGGGTTTAGGGTTTCGGGGTTTAGGGTTTAGGGGTTTCGGGGTTTAGGGCTTAGGGTTTAGGGTTTAGGGTTTGAGGGTTTGGTTTGGGGTTTCTCTCTTGTTTGTGTGGGTTTTGGCTCTCACTTAGGTGTTGAGCTTTGGTTGCTTGAGGGTTCCGGGGTTTAGAGTTCATCGGGCCCGAGGCAAAAACTCCCAAAGGGCTGAGCCCTGAGCACACAACAACCGACAGGACAACTCCAGCATCAACTCCATCCTTGCCCTTGGCACGCTAGCACGGGCCTTCGGCAAGTTCGTGAATGGAGTCCTGGTGGACAAAATTGGCGTCGCTTTGCTGAAGGAGTTCATGGCCATGGCCATCCCCAGACGCTCCAGAATCTCAGAAGTATGAACATTCCCCGACTTGTATTAACAGTCGAGCTCCTCAGCACTTAGTACCTGTCCTCCCGTACGGGGTATTGGAAGACAACAAGCGGCAACAGTGCTAGAAACCAGTATGGCGTGTAGGCAGGAGCTCACAGAAGGCGATGGTGATGGTGAGGATGGTACTGCGCGACGATGGTAGGGAAAGTGATACTGACAATGATGATGATGGTGATGATGGCGATCATGATGATGATGATGATGATGATGATGATGATGATGTTCATGATGACGGCGACGAGGGGAGGATGGTGAGGATGGGCAATGATGATGCTGCTGATGGTCATGATTCGAATCAAAAATTTTTGTGCAGGCAGGAAACCATCATCATCATCATCATCATCATCATCATCATCATCAGACTCGTTATCGTCATGCCAGTCCCGATCCCTACGCCCCCAGATCTGTATGCACCATACCATCATCCATCCCGTCAGGTGCGGCCGTTCCTTTGTGTCGCCTTGCTTCTGGCATCGGCTGCCTGCGTGGTTTTCGCTTCCTCCAGTGGGGCGGGTGACTCACACAGCACCTGCAAGTGTTGGTGGTGCAAGTACTTATATTCGCGGCAGGGTTTAGGGTTTACATACAATCCCGCCGAGACACTCACCCTTTCTGAAGTCCTCAATCCGGCAACGAAAGCTCCAGTAGCGTAGGGGTCCAAAATAATTACCAACACTATTTTTTTT